CGCCTAATTAGAAGCCATTTGTTAGGCGGGCTGAGACCAGTGTGACGTTTTCAGAGAAATGCTACAGCGTAATTTTATATTATGACGTAATATCATTTTTGACGAAGCGTCAACAGACAGCAGTACAACTGACGTCATCATTGAATGACGTTTATACAGGGCAACCATAAAGATGTAAAAACTTGTCTAAATCTCGAGTGATATATCACGCAAGTTCACTCCCACTACTAGGCGTGCAGAGGTGACAGGGGCCATCGAGTTATCCAAATGATGAACGACGAAACGCGGGGGCGAAGGGTTGCGCCAAGTCATCGTGGTGAGACTAAATTACCAACCAATTGCGACGTCTACAGTTTAGTCATTATCCTTCCCAGTTCGTATCACTCTCACTCACTTTACTACTCACTCACTCCACTTTTTTGTACAAAAGTGAATGATTCACGTAGTATATTCTACCAGCTGAGTACTAGGCTACCAGAATTGACCGAATGATGAACGACTCTGGCGGGTTTCAGGCGAGTCATCTTATGAGATGTCCCGGGCCCGATAGGCCTGTCAGGGGGCCGCGGCTGTTACATCCGAGGGTTTTATTAGCGACGCTATTAGAGATTTTGCGGCAGTCATCTTGCAAAATTGCTTTTATGAGCCACTAAAATTAATAGGCGTTATGTGCGAGCGTTTTTGTTACGAAAATGTGGTAAGGAAATAATTAAATTAACAGTGCGATTAATCCTTTATCCACTTGCATGATTCGTTTTTCCAACCGATTCACTTGAGCCACGGTCTTGAGCTGATTTCAATGCTGAAAAGGCGAAGATAGAGAAAGAAAGGGATGTCTGAAAATTACTGAAGTGTGTTTATTGTAGAACAGGAATATTGGGTTACTATATCGTTGCGTGCCCATGTATAAATTATACGGATAACTTTGGGCTCATTTATGTAAATAATCCCTTCGTGCTTATATGGATATTTTGAGCAATAAACATAATTATTAGTTTGTTGGTTCGCTGCCTCATTACCAGGGCAGCACGACGCGCGAGGAGATACGGATAGGAGTTAGCGCGGATAATGAACGCGTACTGCGTGCGTAACTTCGCGCGAAAGTTAGCGCGGGTTCGTTACATTCAGTCGAAAGGGCAAACTTGTTTATGTTTATGAAAATCGAGATGTTTGATGCTGTAAACATTTGGTGTGGATTACTTTGTGAAGTTAGTGTACAGTTGTTATATGATTTCATGTTCACCGATAACAAATAAACACCTCTCATAAACACCTGAAAGGAGCTAATGAACTAAATATTAAATAAATAAATAAACAAATATTTGGACAAAACAAATTTTTTATCCCATTCTAAAACCGTAAAATTGATAAGATAAGGAAATTTCGCTTCTTTTACCAAAGCATCATGAAACGTCCATATATCCTCCAATACAATCGCCATAAATTCTTATTGTGTAAAACACCCTGTCACCTTTCGACCGTTTTTATTTTCACTAAAAGACAATGTTTGTTCATATTTGATAATGCTTCCCTCCTCGCGCTGGTACATAAAAACCCTTTTTATCTCTTATGAACGCATATTTCATGCTTACTCGTTGTATTTAGGTTTTTCAGGATTGTGTTTTATTTCCATTTAATGTCTATGCATCTAGAAAACCGATTGGTAGAACTAAACAACATTGTAGCATATTATCTTCTAACAATATAAAGAAAACTAGTGAGTGATGACCTTTATATCACCACTTCATTTTAGCAATTCTGCGAACTATGTCAGTCACTTTGGTTTTTCTGCGGATCTCCTCATTTCTGATTCGATCACACAAGAAACTCCAAGTATATGATGTTGAAAATATCTTCAATTATTCCTGATAAAAAGCAGGTTAAATGATAGGAGTACCTCTAATTTCTTAATACGTGCGTTTATTATAAAAAATAATAAGTGTAAAATGATTTAATACAGATTGAAATGAACTTTCAGCGTAGCGCGAATAATATTTAATATTTTCTCAGTCATTCAATTTCAAATTAAAGCAAGAATCGTCGCGTAATCAAATCGGGGGCGAATAAAAACGCTCGTCTCTGACACCCTGCGCTGGACTATTGTTAATTTCCTGCAGGCTTGTATTTTCTGCTTATTTTATACTTAGGTATTTTTATCGTGTGACTTGACGAGTACCTACTTACTCCTGTTTTTTATTATAGCCTGGTACTTTGCTCGGAGCTCGGGAAGTAATTGGCGTTTGATATTCAAATTAATAGCTAAATTTTGGCAAGGAGAAATCCTAGGTCCTAGGCTAGCAATAATGATACTGAAATTTTTAAATGTCATTATTTCATCTCTATCCTTGAGTAAATCTTGCTGCATTACATGTGTTAGGAACACTACAATCACAGTTACTATTTAACTTTGACTCATGCTCGTTAAAGTTTTAACGATTGTCTCCGTAGTCGACGTTAACTTAAGAGCTACTTAATTCAAACTTGTAGGAGACACGACATCTTCTTGGCTCATTTACCTAATGGACTCGTCAAACGCCGCGGCGCCTCACCTGCTGGGTACAAAATGTTTCGACCTGTGTGCCTACCATGAGTTTACGTTAGGTGAGCTCGCTAGTGAATACGTCAAAAAATTCTATGAAGATTTTATTTCTTGAAAGTAGCCGCTAGGGGCGCTGCACAATATATCATACATTTAAATGTCATTTTTTTACGCAGTCGCTAGCGAGCACACCTAACGTAAACTCATGGTAGGCACACTGTACGCGAATCGTGTTTGCCTGGTATACGCGTTAATATAAAGGCAACTTGCATAGCTAGGTTTTCACGTAAACATTTTTGTCATCACTTTGCTAGTTATATTCTCCTGGTACCCGTGAGAAAAACTCAACCCTTTGGTTACCCATTTGTAGTTGTTTGACAATTTGACAGGATACTGATGCTACGCCGTTAGATAAATTATGTAGTGAATTTCAGCCTACCCAGCCAATTGCTCAGTTAGTTAGCTTCTATCAACAGAACATCATGTTTACTAACTGGTAGGTATCCTCCTAACTAATCACTAAACAAAATTACCTACTGTTCGCCTCAAGGCAATGTAACTTTATGACAGTTTCAGTTTTGTAACTGCTTCACTACCCTAAGTTAGGTACATAACAGTATACGTATGTGACTGTTTCAACTTAGAACTGATGTGATAACGCAATAACAGAAATGTTAATTTTAAAGTGACATTAGTTTACTCTCGGTCCTCTCGGTTATTAGAACAAAAAAAGATTTGAAAGTTTTGTGTATCATCTCGTATAATCTCCGCGTATTACATTTTGAATAATCTTGCTGCACTCACAGTCTAAATAATAATTTTTCTTAGTATCAGCCTTAAAAACATTAATTAGTTCCCAAGTTAGAAGCAAGTTTATAATCAAGCGGCTGCAGCGGGCGCGGGCCGTTTTTAATGAAAATGACTGTTTCCCGGCGCGCGCGTAATTTTAATTTCGCACAACAGTGTGCGCGCGGCTTAATTCCCGCTAATTTATGTTAATGGATGTCTCGCTGATAGAGGTCACAGGATTTTGCTGTGCACTTTGATCTATTGAGGCCATTTCCTACGCTTATCATAGCTGCTTTGATTTTTCAAAGTAAATAAGATAGTGCTTTAAGGAATTGAGTTATTTTCTAATACACCTCATTTTTTCTTAACAATATTCAAATCACGCATCTGGAACTAACATCTGTTTCCAATTTGTGTCCATCACATAGTGTATTTGATGGGTCAAACAGTAGTACCCTTTTTAATGACTCTATCATCTCATTGATTTTAACAATCAAACGTTAGGTACTTAGCAACAGTAGGTACACCAACTCATTTTTATCTGTAAAAATTTAAACCCATGTTTCCAAGTCGTCGCTGCAAAAACGGGAAACATTTTAATGAAGATGTCCTTTCCCGTTGCACTCGTAATGTAAATTTACGCCGGCAGTGTGCGCTCGCCTTAATTCCCGCTAATTTATGATAATGTTCCCGTGACTGAGATTATTATTATAGTTTAGGCCGGAGTGCAAGTTGATTTCTTTGGGGGGCTGTATTTTTATAAACCAGAGGTGTAGCAAACCTTGAAAAATTCAAATACACATAGATACACCTGAAGCGGTAAAAATCTATTTCATGAAATTTTCTCAAAATGTAGTAGTAGTATGTATTAAGGTTCAGCTAAACCAACGCGATCACACGCGATCAGCCGGCGTGCAGCAATGGCGATCAGAATTAAATGCATTGATCGCCATCGCTGCACGCTGGCTGATCGCGTTGGTTTGGCTGAACCTTTACGAGTAAAATGATTTATGCAATTTTGCATACGAATTGAAATTTGGATGCTTCGAAATTACGTACGTACTCTGCCTCTAAATATAAACTTTTTAGTTTTGCTGCTAAGTAAGCTTCCAGCTCGAGCGGATTACGAGCTACATCGTCGTTCTGTTTGAGTCCACTAACTAAAACTATAAGCTTGTGTTTTCATTTTATCCATCTCTTTTGTGTATGACATCTCAAGGCGAGTGAGAAAGACTTGAAATAGTGATGCGCTGAAGTTCCTCAAGACTTAGTTGCCGTAAAATTTTATCCGCAATATCTTGCCATTTTTATCACTGACCTCGTATTCTGTTTTATCTGGTTCAACATTGTACCTACAGTTATTTTAATTTATGCTGACATATCAAATTCAAACTTTGTAACCGAATTTGTACCTATACTTTGACAGACGCAACTTTATGCGCGTGAAGTTGTTTTTTTATGCAGCACAAAGCAGGTATTTGACCGCAATCGCACCTGATGTTAAGTGAGATACAATCTAGGATGGTATATCTACCCTGTAGTAAGTGCCCGAATTATAGTGCTCCGGAAAGACAGCAGCAGGCAGCAAATTCCAGTCTCTAGCTGTTTGCATGTATAAGTGTATATTGATGAGATGTGGTGATGCGTTATTTATCGATCGTTTCTGTTGCAGGCGGAGATATGGTCGGTGTTCATCGCGATCCTGCGCAAGAGCGTGCGCAACCTGCAGGCCTGCACCGACGTGGGGCTCATCCACCACGTGCTGCAGCGGCTGCCCAAGGCCGAGACCGTCGTCGCAGGTGAGCCCCTTTTATCTTCAGCATATGACAGTCCATTGTTCGACAAGCATGTCGCTAGTAAGCCCCACTTAATACGCCATTTTACCGTGTCGCAACCGATGAAAAACAAAAAGTCAGTAATGCGTGTCCATTCCAGAATGCCATAATGCCTATCCCAATATGTGGGCTACCTATTCGAAGATGTTGTTTGATAGTAGGTACTCACTCATGATGACGCACCAATGACATGGCATGTCAGGAGCCAGGCCTCCCTGAATGATAACCCTAGATGCCAATTGGCGTCTCACAAGGTCAGTAAGACCTCCAGATTGGTGAAGGAGCGACTTAATCTGAAAAATTTGCTGGCATAAGCTGGCAGCAACTAACCAAAGGTGCCATAAAGAGCTTTATCGACTTGTTTCGAACCACCATAAGTGTATGTCCGATTATAAAATAAAATTTAATAAAAAATATGTCTATGACCAACGATAACTTATTATTCAAAAAACCATAAATACATACAGCGCCCGAACATATAACCTCCTCCTTTTTTGAAGTCGGTTAAAAATATTCATGGTAGGGCTGCAGAATCTTATTCTTGGTATTGAACCTGCATAAGTGTGCAGGAGATAATTGAGCTGTTTAAACCTTTAGAGGCACCCTTGCCACAAAAAATAAAGGGGCTACATAAGCCCCGCCCTTGTAACAGGTATGCAACTTAAATCTTTCTACCTCCTGATTCCTCGTGGTACCCTGGTAGATAAAGGCATATTTTAACACCGTTTAGTTGCAGAAACAGACTTTAAACTCTAATGAATCATTAACTTCTTACACAAACCAACATTAACAAGAAGTGTCAATCTTGCACATTAGCTTTGCGTTGCACATTTTTGCTTAAGAAAAGTTTCTTAAAATAATTTGGGCGTATATCTATACGTGGTATTTTTGAAAAGGTCTGTTTTATTACTCGAGTTTTTATAATATGTATTAGGGTATATTACCTACGTAATATTCGGCAATAAGTTTTCAGTTGACATAAAATTGTATCCATTGTCTACGTAGGTTGATCTTTTCAAGTACAAATAAAAACAAATTATTTTGGAGCTTAATCAGACAACTCTGAAATAAAGTATCCTTGAAAATATTCAAGATAGGCTTGAAGACCTTGTTTCTCACATTGAACCTGCATAAGTGTGCAGGAGGTAATTGAGCTGTTTAAATTTCTTTTAGAGGCACCCTAGCCACAAAAAATAAAGGGGCTTCGTAAGCCCCGCCCTTGGTAACAGGTATAAAACTTAAATCTTGCTACCTCCTGATTCCGCGTGGTACCCTGGTAGATAAAGGCATATTTTAACACCGTTTAGTTGCAGAAACAGACTTTAAATTTTAATGGCTTCATTAAACTCTAATGTATCATTAACTTAACTAACATTAACAAAGAGTTTAACTAATGAAGTGACAACCTTTCACATTAGCTTTACGTTGCACATTTTTGCGTAAGAATCTTAAGAAAAGTTTCTTAAACTATATTAGTTTGGGCTTTTTTATACGTGGTATTTTTTGAAAAGGTCTGTTTTATTACTCGAGCTTTTGTAATATGTATTAGGGTATATAAATAGATCCTCAAATAGTATCTTTATTTTATTAAATACATAGTATCTTTATTTTACACAAATAATAAAAGTTGGTTCCTCGAATTTTACATTTCCATACAAAGTATGCTTATTTATAAAGGAAAAGACATACAAACATGTCATGTGTCTTCTTTTGTATAAATAAGCAAAAGGGTTGACTTAACTGGTTCATAGTACTAGGCTCGCATAAATGCACAGGAGTTGTTTAAACTTCCTTTAGAAAGACGAGAGTGCCATAAAAATAGAGGGGCTGCGCATGCCCCGCCCTTCGTAACAGGTGCCCAACTTAAATCTTGCTACCTCCTGCTCCCGCGTGCTGCCCTGGTGCACTAAGGAATATTTTAAGAACCAGTTAATATTAAGAAAGGCCTATTATTTAAGGAAAAGGATCGCGTGGTATATTCACAGGACATAGTCGTAATTTTTTCGTTATTGCAGTCAAGATCGTTTCGATGAATCCCAGATTATATTGTTGTTATCAAACAATACAAATACACAAAGTGCTTAGTAGTTTTTGTATACAAATATTTTTTATTTTATTTTTACAAAACCAGTATGTATTGGAGAATTGATTATTTGATATGGAAACGAAAGGGTTGAATCTGGATCACTATAACGGGCTTGCATAAGTGTGCAGGAGTAAGATAAGTTTAAATTCACTTTAGAAACTTAAGGGTGCCACAAAAATAGAGGGGCTGCTTATGCCCCGCCCTTCGTAACAGGTACCAACACAGAAATCTTGCTACCTCCTACCCACGCATGCTGCCCTGGTAAATTAAGGAATATTTTAAGAATTGGCTAAAAATAAGTATTAAGTTTAAGAAACCGTTTCTAAAAATAACTGGGTGCATATTCTCACACAATATTATTTATTTACCAAACAACTGGATAATGTCAGCTGAAAATAAAGTATTTACTTACTTACTTCTTTTTACTATAAATAGTTCACATCCTTATTACTTGTGTGAATATTTTAAAGTTAAGTGAGATAATATGTAGAAAGGATTAAACGAATCTGGTTAGTTGTAACAAGCCTGCATAAGTGTGCAGGAGTTATCGAGGCTTAAACTTTCTGGAGAGATTTTAGGGCGCAGCAAAAAATAAAGGGGCTGCACATGCCCCGCCCTTCTTAAAAGGCCTCTAACATAAAAATCTTGCTACCTCCTGCTATCCTATGCTGCCCTGGTGATAATAAGAATATTTTAAGAACCAGCTAAAAATAAGTATCTACGTAAGAAAGGGGTGTCTAATAATAGTTTCTGTATAATTTCTCACGCGCCATAAATATTCCGATAGAGTGGAAAATTGTCTCACGACTACTAGGGTAGCATAGACACGAAGAAATAACCAAGACATTCAAAAAGGAGCTCTTGAATCTTGTGGGGATCGAAAGGGAACCGTACGCAACGAAGTTTTTTTTATTAACAACCCCTCCTTTTAACGGTATACTTAACGTTGCGTTGATTTGTTCCTCGTTATTTTGTTTTGTACGTTTAAAAATATTTTGAAGTAATAATGCCACTATCTGGTATTAGGTAATTTGAAATATTTTCTTTATCAAACACCGATATTAATCACAAGATACCTCTTCCCTATTTATCTTACTGTTGGGCGTCCAGTTCACTACAATAACTCCGTCCCTCAGGGCCATAATGGCTATCTGAGATGCAAATAATTCGATTAAACATGGGATATGCTTAGATTGTTCATGTTCAGTCAACCGTGAAAATGTCACACGCCTACCAGGATGGCATAACTAAATACGAGTATAAAAAATATTTCCCTGCTGATATAATATTTCTGAATATGAAAAAAATAATACCCGTCTTCTATTGTCAGTAGGAGCAAGGACTGTTTCAAAAGACCCTATTGTCGTATGGTCCAGTAAGTTACCTGCTTCTTTTCTTAGCTCCGCCCTTATTCCTTTGTGCGTCTATGCTTTAAGGATATGCAACTCTGTTATTGACTTAACAATACTTTGTTCGAAAGTGAAACCTTCGGCTTTTAAAATAAAATTTTAAGTATTTATCTTAAATATTACGTTCTATCTGGTACTCGTATGTGTGTCTATTTACTATTTCACTCACACCAACCCTAATGCTAAAACTTTGTTGGGCAAGTTATGAAAACATCTTTCTATGGATGAGTAATTCATTCGGCCGTGAAAATATATTACACGGTTACTGGGACGACATAACTAAGCAGAAGTAAATGGGCTGAGACTGTTGTCATGTTAGTGAAAAATAGTTTGCGATATTTGGGTTTTTTCAACCCTCGAATAAATTGTCATTTCATAATACATTTTTACCATACTGAAACTGTGAATGAGCCAAACTTATTCCTCAGTTAAAAGTTATCCGACGGTTAAAAATCCTTTGAATAACTATCTCACAGCTACCAGGGCTGCATAAGTGAACAGATATAAAATATTCCCATGATCCTTTAAATCTGAGGACTCTTCGCAGGTAATATTTTTGCATGCTATTTAAAAGTGCCTCTAACTAAGGGATGTTTCCGCTCCATTGTGGGCGCTTCCATGTGATGAACTATTGCGGCCTTGGATCACTGCAGGTGCAGAATTTGCCTGGGTATATCTACATATGTATCATTCCGGAACTTAAAACTGAGAATGAATATTCCCATAGAGTTGAAATATTTCTCAGACACAAGTCGATGGATAAGTAGTATCTCATTTCTCAAGGATTCAAACCCAGTTAATATATAGTTTGTTTATTTAACTCGAAGTTTAATCACACGGTTACTAGGATTGCATAAAATAGAAGGAACTAGCGGTTTCCACGATCCTTTCATAATTCTCACTCAGGGCTCTTCTCAGGTAAAATTTTTTCGTTCAAAATGCGGTCAAAGAATGTTTCCGCCCCATTGCATTGTAGAGGGGCCAAGCCAACATTCATTGATCTGCTGTTAACTTTTAGCAATCACTGCTTAAGATTGGTTTTTTATAAACATTTTTGGAACGCTAATCCACTTTTAATGCACCTATGCGATCCTAGTGCCCATGAGAAAACAGTAGAAGTAGGTAGATATATTCTGGTCATAAAGTGACGTATACACAATACCTTAGTAATTGAAAGCTCACTGATAAGGGCAATAGGTAAATCGGAGGTGACAAAGAATCAGTTTAGAAATGTAAAAATAACTAAGGCCCCGCTACCTGATCGTAGTTAACTCCGCCCAATATTATCCCTTACTTCATCACCTCAGAATACGGAACAAACCAGAAACCGTCAACGGGCGTAAATGTGTATTCATATAAAGTACTCCAAATCGCACTACTTTGACTTTAAAGCAATCAGTCAATGGCCGGCGCGCGCATTGTTTACATATCCGTCAGATTGACACTTTATAATTAAATTATGCCGTCTTGTGCCGTTCCAACATGTAAGAATGCTACTGGAATTACGAAGAAAGTGCATGGGATCATGTTTTATCCGTAAGTAGCACATTTCCAATTCATTTTAATTAAATAATAATTTTCAAAAAAAATCACGGTTGTATTTTGTAAGTGTTGC